CCTGAAAATAATTAGTTGCTATAGTACCATCATTTTTTCTTGAATGCTTGCATAATTACGGAAGTGTTTAGGAATGTATTTTTCATCTTTGCCCGTCCTGGAGACTGGTAACAACTTGACTTTCCCAGAGATAAGCCACATCATGGTATTCTGTACTATCACAGGCAATAGTTCTTCAAATTCCTCATGAAGCTTGTCTGAAATGTCAGAAAATCGTGGTTTATCCAAGCTACGTGAGCATACAGCAGCAGGGCTGCATGTTCTGTATTTGAGTTATCTTTGAATCTAGGTTAATTTCAGGATGATAATCCTAAAAGGTCTAAATGACCTACGGTATACCTGAAAAATTTATGCTTTCTCAGGATTTTGCCACTCTCCTTAATTTAGAGGTTGTAAAACCCAGGTCTGAACTTGCAGGAGGCAGGAGGAAGGCAGTGTTCCCGCATCTTCCTGGACCGTGGATTTAATTACTGGAAGAATTCGGCCGGAGTCTCGCCGTGCTTTGGGAGTGTTGCAGGATTTATCTGCCTTGGCAAGGTTTTTCCTCTCTAACTAAGCTCTTAATTGACTTTATGTGAAATAAATGCCCCAGTTTTGAAACCTCGTACAGAGATAACAGTGAAAGGCAGTAAGGAGTGGAAGGGTGTTTCTCGGTGAGCTGAGATACGTGTTGATTAATGTTCACAGTCAGCAGGCAAACAGGTGTCTTAAAATATGTGCTCACTACACTGAGTTTCTAGCTTAAAGAAAACTCTGCGATAACCCAGTTCGACATTAACACTGTGTTTTTCTCACTTGCTTTCATACTTGTTACTAGTAAGAATGAGGTTGTGTCATCTTTTTAAAACTTAGCAGTTGTGCAGCCAACGTTCAGGGAAGTAACTCTCCCTTTTTCTGTTGTTGTTGCAGGAGTGATGTTTATTTTGTATTTCATTGCATACAGTAGTATGTAGGATTTAAAAGATAAAATGGTGTTTGTCTTAGGAGTGTTGTGCCACCGCAGCTGTGTGCAGGGACAGACTTTCAGCAACACAGTCCCAAAAGGCAGCATCTGTTAAACACACAATCTGTTTTGTCTTTTTGCCTGCATTACAGAGCTTGCAATAGGGATGCAGCTATTCTCTTCTTCTATTACTGTTTTGAAATGCGCCTCCTGTCATTCTTGCAAATTATCTATTGTCAAATTAGTCTTAATTGTAGTTAACTCAGGCCACTACAAGGTGATTAAGAATCTCATCCAAATTTTTAAATGTATTTCAATTCATTCTGCTTGTATTAATAATCACAGTGACCACTTAGGGTCCTAATCTGAATAATCATGGGAAAACTGAATAATCAGTATAAATCTGTACAGGTTTTTTAGCCACATCTATGAAAATACACAGACACTCCTTTAAATCTAGCACTTATGTGCAGGCTATACAAACTTACAGATCTGCAGTAGCATAATCCAGGATACAATATTTTTTCTAGTTGTGTTCAGGAACAATGTTTCAGTCATGCCTTGGATGCCATTTTGTCACGAAGATGATTTTTTAAAAAGTCAGTGGAAAATAATGAGTAAAGCTGTGAGCTTTTTAACTATGATTGTTTTTAAAAAAAATCTGCTTTTGAACTAGTTAGGTGCTGATGCATCTTCATGAAACAAAGTGGAGGAAGGAAAACCCTACAATTTCTCTGAATTCATGTAAGTCTTTGCAGGGAATTTTATTTTCCTTTTCATGTTCTGTTTTATTTTTTCCCATTTTTCATTCTTCAAGTGTGAAAAAATTATAATTTTTCGCTTACCCTTAATGCTCGCTTTAAGGATGAGCCCTTCAGGAGTTTGCCAAGCAGTGCTTGGCATTGCTCGAGGCAGCACAGTGCATCACATCAGCTACTTGCCGTTGGCCACTGTTTCCTGTGGTTTGGGGAGGTTGAGTTTCCTCACATCCTTTTCTTTCACCTATTTTTTACACTTCTCCCATGCACTGGCTGTCATATTTTATCTCTGAGTACAGGAAAACAATAATTGAAAAAAAGTACATTTCATATTTGGGAAGCTGTTCCCTTCATTGCTTTCTTTCACTTTTTCCATGATAGTGTATCAGGAGCAGAGCTCCACACTGCTTCTAAATCCACATTTATGTATTTGTGTAGAGAGACTTTCCCTCAGCCTCTCTAATTTTATGCTGGTAATTCTTGGCTTATTGTAGATATCAGGGAGGGACAAAGGGAAAGAGGTCAGTTGTAGCTAGAGATGTATAGGACTTCTGAAGGAAATGATGCCATGTTTAGTTTCCTACATAAAGATTTAAAAACCCTAGAGGTTTTTTGCATTATGGAATCAAAATTTGGCAAAGTATGAGTTGAGTCACATGTTCTTCTAATTCAGGTGCAATTTAGAGAGGTGACAGAACTCTGTTTTAAGACTTAAATTGTTTATTTTTACACATTTATGTAGGCAGAAAAATATTTTTATGAAAGAAGTACCTTACAGCTTTGCTGTGTTAGATGAAATAAGTGGATCTTATTAATAGCATCCAAATGCAAAATTACAAAAGTTTAATGTTGTAAAATTAAATTGTAAAAGTCAGATCCTGTATGTCTATTATGGTAGACATTTATTGATAAACCAGAGTACGGAGGGAGAGATTTGTGTGTCTGATTTTTGCTGCTGTACGTGAGCAAGTAGTCCTAGGTTGGCAATGTGGCTCTGACTATGGTGACTAGTCTTGCTTTAAACAAGGAAGTTTTTTAAAAATACAGTCGCTGTTTGATGCCATTACCAGCAGAACATGGCTCTGAATGTTTGAATTCTGCAGAAGAGGTTGTAGACTTCAAGCTTGCTGCCCAGTGAGCACAGCATGATCTAGGCAAGTTTTGGAAGAGGCAGTTCGCAGGAGTTTCTGCTGTCGATACTCACACGTGATGGTGTAAGTGGACAAGAAATGGCAAGCCATAATGACTTCTTGAGCAGGGAAGAGAGCTGTTGGTTCCCAGAGAGAGGATGGTGTCTGGTGCAGGACACGTTCAGTCCATGCCTGTGCATGTACAGGCAGGCACCTGCTCTCGTCTGTGAATCAAGTCCACTTTCTTTTTGTCTGCTTTAGAGGGAGCTCCTACTCCAGTTTCAAAGTCAAGCCCAGAGAAATTAATTTTTTAGTTTTGTTTGAGTAATTGTGACAAGTTCTTCTGCCTTCACACGGGACAGGGTTGGACTTGGAGCCACAGATGAGTGAGATCCACATCTGATCATCCAGTGCTCGAAGGAGAATTGATTGCTGGTGATTTTTAAAACAGGTTTGTAAGTTTGAGGAGTCTCTGGAAGTCTCTGCTTACTAGTGGTTATATGAAACTATCAGCCCTTTTGAGGGTGGAGGGGCATCCTGTAGTTGTGGAGAAAAACTTGTCCTTGGCACAGCTCTTAGCCCTACAGAGGTTCTACCAAGTACGAGGAAGACAAAAAGAATGAAATAGACACCCAAGTTTTCTCTTTAATCTTTATTTGTAAATGTAATTCCTGACTTTTAGGCATGGGTCATAATTTTTTAATGCTTGAGATGAATAGTCTTTGTTTCTGAAGCTTGCTGATGTGTTTCTGTGACACCTGCAGTACTGTGCATGTTTGGTGTCATTATGGAAAAGAAGCAAAGAAAGAAAAAATTCCTTGAGTGCAAATATGTGATCATAAACATATCGAGGGGTAGGGGCTGGAAGAAGTCTGGTATTCATAAAGCTGATCTTAGCTGGTCTTTTTACAGATATTGTAATAATCTCTAGTAAAACTTCAATATTTCTATGATGCTCGCTTTTATTATTACTGCTATTTTAAAATGATGGTTATGTCTGCAGAGTGACAGGTTCTTCTTAAGCACTGTTCTTCTCATCCCCTGGAAATAATACATTTCTTCATTATTTTAACAGTTTTCGTTTGTGGACTGACTGTTATGGGCTCTGACTTATCAGAGAGGATGGTATGCTTAGATAGTTGTACTGTTTACAACTGTTACATCTATTTTAATTCTGTTTGGTCTTAACTGGAACATATTCTGGTCAGATGCCGTTCCAGTGGGATTTTCGTCTCAATATAAATGTAATAAATTTAATCCATATTAAACTCTTAACATTGTTTAAACCTTCTTGAAATTAAGATGCGTGGATACCTGGAGGTGATCTGCACATCTGTGCTTTGTGATGCCGTTGCAATGTCACGTTGGTTCTTGTGTGCCACTCGCTTTTGTAGCAGGGCTCAGGAGCTGAAAGTCCTGTCCTTGGGGTTGTGCCTCGGTCAGGCCTTCACAGTAGCTGCTAAGGATGTGTCCCCGTGTTTCCAGGAGCTCTGGCTGCAGCTGCGTTGATATCACACTCGGGACAGTTTTATAAGCAGTTCTGAGGATGCTGAAATACAGCCAAGTATACAGAAAGCAAATGGAGTATTTCCCTAACGAATGGCACTTCAGACCTAGAGAGAGAATGAAGTCAAAGTGAATTTAAATCTGTATATTACGCTTCCCGTAAAGGGGGATGCACTGACAGTGTGCCAGACAAATAGCTTTAAACCTCTGTGGGTGCCAAATACCAAGAATATAGGCATGGTTCTGGCTCTCCTGCAAGTGTAACAGCTATGAAACAGAATAGCTTGCTGGCTGATGAAGATGGAATGCATTTGTCATCTTAGACAAGAATTTAAGATGCAGATTGAAGACAGCTTTTGTCTCCGGGGGAAACTGAACGAGAGGCTCACACAGTTTGTGCACTTCTTTGTCCAGTACCATTGCTTTAGAAGATGCCTTTGTGATGGCTCGATGAAACCGAGAGCATTGGTTTAGAAAAGCAGTTGAATAAAACTAGGAAATGTTTCTGTCATTGTTAGGAATTCATCTGCATTTATCGTATTGTTACTAAAACTCGAGAATTACTACAGCGAAGCGTGGCTTTCCTATTCAGTGCCTCTAATGGCAGGTATGGGTATGCTTATTTCCGAAAGCTGACGGTATAATTTATGTATCTGAAATTAGGTGTTGCCCAAGTGCACGTATGAGATCCATCTGTTTGGGGACTCAGGTGAAATATCTTCAGAGGTTTGTCTTAAAGAGTAACTAAGATGGAAGCTACACCTGGCTGCTGAGACCACTGCACTTCTGATGTCCAGGTTTGTCCCAGCGTGAGAGGATGATGAAACTTAGGCCAACAGGAGCCTGGACAGTAGTGCTTTCTGGTATTCTGAAATGTAATCCCACTAGATCCAATACAGTTCTTCCCTGTTTTGTTTTGTTTTGTTATGTTTTGTTTTCACCCCAAAAGCACAACTTTTAGAAGAACAAATTGGAGCTCTTGGCCTGGATGACTTGTGGGATCGTGACAGCGTTGGTTTAGAATTCAAATGGTGCTGGAGAGAAGGCAGTCTGTGTTCTGAAGATTTGGGTACCTGGATTTCACCTGGATCCAAACTGAAGTGGAAGTTGAAAGGTCTGAATCTCACCCTTAATGAATGAAACGCATTGCGTTTCATTACATAGATTCAGGAGTAGCCTCTAGACTCAAAACAGGAACAGCTATTAAAGAGCTAAATGTTATTATTGGATCCAAAGCCTGGTGATAGTTGTTATCTTTGCTTTGTTTGTGCAGGTAATGATAAAACACTCACCATGTGCTAGCCCTGGGTTTCAAGATCACATCCTTGTGCCAGGTTGTAGCATACAGCCCGCTAAAACCTAAGGCATTGACATTCAGTCAGGATGTGAAGGAAGCAAAGTGACCATGACTCAAAATGAAATATTCATAGACGCAAAGAGAACTGCATAGCAGACTTTTCTCCCCTGCCTTATTTTCAGTCTGGTACTTAATTCAAAGTGCTTTCTGATACACTTCCTGGATTTTTTGCTTACAAAGCAGAAAAGGGATGTGAAGCTTGATTTAGGTCTGTCCCTTTACATTACATCCTTACTAAAGGATAAGATACATCTTGGCCCACTTGCTTCTTTTTATTCATTAATAAAATTTCATGTAACACAGCGTCCAGAGTCCTGTGCAAGGGACTGTTTCCACCCCAGGGCATCCCCATCTATCTGTGTTTCATCTCATCTAGCCACGAATCATATGCAAATTTAACATGTTGGAATTTTAAAAAGTCTATATATTATTAATAATCCATATCTATATTTGACTAACTGTCCACGAGAAGCAGAATTTTCATCATCCTTTAGTTTTCATGACAAGCAAAGGAGGAACACTGGATTTCCCATATCTCTGGGATCACTTCAGACAGTGGCCTCACACAACAGCAAGTATAGAATAATCTCTGTAATTGAAGGATTTTTTCATTAAAACTGTCCTCTCTAAAAAGTTCCAAATATTTTGACTTTATTCATCTATATCTTTAATACTTTTATAGTTCTAATAGGGACCGCAAGTACTTTACATTTTTAATAGAAACTGCAACGGATTGTCGTTATTTCACAGATATGTGCTAAGAAAATTTAATTTATGTAAAAATACTGAACACTCACAAGGGGTCTTGAGTAGAAAAATGTATCTGAAATTTGTAGCCTTCTTATTTGTAGCTTGGTTGTAGTATGTACACTTTGTGCACAGCATGCAACAGAAATACAGAGACATCTGTCACACTTTGTTCAGGACTCATACTGTACCCTACGAAGTAAAATTCCTTTGTACCCTCTGGGTGTCTCTCCTGTAATTGTATCCAGAGCATAGACCTAATGTACCGGATTGCAGTGCATTAATAACAAGCATGGTTTTGTAATTGAGTGTTACAGCCGTGCGGATTCTGGGAAGTTCCACCCACAGCCTTTGATCTTTGGAAAATCCCCAGCCTCTGGATTGTCACTCGGGCAAAGCTGCATGTCCTGACTGCTCAGAGGCCACTTGCAAGGAGCCCTCTCTGCCAGTTTGGTTCCTCAGCTGTTCCTGTTTATGCTGGTGCCTGCCAGAAAAATTCCCGTTTCCAGGGTTTGCTCTGCTTTTCTGTTGGAGAAGGATCAACTTTGGAGTCCTTGTGAAGATAAGGCTGTAATAGCTATCATGTAATGAGAACATCAGAGTGAAGGGAAATTATTACAAATGTATATTAGCATATGAATTGTTCTGCTTATGAAATGCCGTGACGTGAGTCAGCTTCCCTTGCTAATATGGGAAGTGCATATTATGTATCAAACATCAAGGGGCTGGTATTGTCTTGGAACCAGATTACAGCATTAACTCTGTATTTTATTCGTTGTTACCAAACAACAATATGCCTACATGCTTATCTTCTTTCAGCTGAAAGAAAATGTAATTGAAACGCTAGGCCAAGCCTCCTGTCGATATTAATCTATTACAATCAGTATGCCAACATAGCAGGCAACTCTGAAAATGCCACAGTCTCTTCTTATTATTTTGTCTACTTCTGTTTGAGGTAGGTGAGGAATTTTCTCGGTTTGATGCTTATTTCTGTTTTCTGTAACTCTAATTCAATATTACCTCTCACAAAATAAAACAGTGAGTGTCGTGCTGCAGTGCACGATACGACCAGCATCTAGTACTCACATTTAGCTTGCTCTAAGGTCAGATGTAGCCTGGCAACTCAGCACTAATGACTCTGTTCTGTGAGTCAAGTGCTTGCTACAAGGGTAGAAATTAATGTGGATCTAAAATGATCTCTTTGGTGTCTTTGAGAGCACGACAGTGACTGCTAGTCCTCTTCTACCCACTTTTGAAAAATGATGCTTGACTTGAAGGAGAGATTTTTTGGAAGCTAAAGCTGTATTAAATCCAGGCTCTTTGCTTATAGCAGCCTTAGACTGTGGGATAAATGGGTTAATTCAAGCAGAGGATCACTCGGCTGTTCACACCCTATGCATTAAGACAGCCAGGTTATTCCGGGGAATTAAACCAATCATTTTTGAGTAGCAATTGAAGGGTTTGAAGAGCTGTACATATTCTTCACCTTTTGATTCTCTGTTTTTAATTGTTGCACTGTTTAACTTTCCTGTTTGAAATGTGAAAAACAAAATGACTTTGGAGCATGGGTATGTTTGTAGATCTGTGACTGTTCCACCACGGGTAGGGGATGAGACCTAGGTATTAAGTGCATTTGAGAAATGAGGGGAGGAAAAAAAAAAGTGTTTCTGAATTGATTTCTGGTGCTTAGAGCAAACTCTTTAGAGCAAGCAGATACCCAAGAGCTCTCAGCTTGATTGTTATCAACTTGTTTTCTTCAGACATTTCTGACACCTGTAAAACCCGACCAAAATGCAGTAAGTAGCTGGTGTGTTGCTTTTGTAATCTTGGTTTTACAAAGATTTTAACCAGACGCAACCTGGCACCGTCACTAGAAGAAATGATCCATATATTCCTTTCCTCACTGCTTATTTCTGCCTTTTTCTTCTTTGTGACAGCATGGCTAAAAAGAAGTTAAAGGTTGGCCTAGATTTGTTCCATGGTTTGTCTTACGGCCTCACAAAAGTGGGTACTAGTGTGACAAGAAGGGAGGCTGCATGGGCTACAGGCAAGAGGAAGGATGGGACTCGATTTATTTTTTATTTTATTGAGTTGTGCTGGTTTAAAATGTTAGTGCAGCTCAGACTTCCCTTTCCTGCCACAGCAGTTCCTCCAACATATGTGCCAAAGAGGCCTCATCCTCCCTTGGCAGTGTTTATGTGCCATTCTAATCTGGTGCCTATAGTACGACGGGAAGGCCCGTGAATAAAATGTGCACCAGTGTGGGCATTGCTTTACCACACCAGATGGAAATTTACTGTGGTGGCAGATTTCCTCCCATAATATAGTTGTTCTGAGCCTGCCTCTGCTGGCTGACACATTGAGAACACTTTTTAGGAAGACTTTTTTTTTTATTTCTGCTGTTGATGAGCAAGAATATTTTCCTCAGCTGAAAGCACAAATGACAGCTCTAATGTAGTTATAATAACACGTGGGTAACTGCACATGAAATGTAGCTAGATTTGCTGCCATACTATTCAACAAAAAGTCGTGATCGTTTCACCTGTGAGAAAACTTACTTTTCTGAGACCTGGGCCATGCTAAATCTGTAGCCTTAAATGTATATTTCTGCAGTACAGGGTATAGTTCAAACACAAATCAGCTATCAAATATTATTTTCCTTTATATTTCATTTAAGAAACTCTAAAAAAAAGAAAAGTAATAGAAACTGCAGAGAGAAAAATTTGGTAGTCTGCTGGAGGCAAGAGGTATGATGTCCGGATTTAGCCTTTGACCATAATGGCTAAATCTGATGATCTGTAGTTCAACTTATTAAACTGAGCTTTTTCACTTTTGTACTGTGCTTTCAAAATTGTAAGAAAATACTGAACTGTGCAGAACCTACTACAGAGGCATGAACCTTTGCCACACTGAATGTGTAGCCAAACTGTATTTCCTGTGCTTTGTTTTGTATCGCTTGAGCACTTCCATGATTTGGCACCAAACTTAACGCAATGATTACTTCGTTTTAGGAATCTCTTCTGAAAGATCTTGTTTAAACCTTTGAGGGAATAAATAAATAATCCTTATCCTTTATCTCCTATGCTCAAGCAACTGTAATAGATTAGTGACACTTTTTTTTTTCATATTAATTATGTTGATTAGTCCTACTATATTATAATTTTGGTGGTTTACTCAGCAATTAATTATTTTAATCACTGTTTTAAATAAAAGGTTTAGTGAAATGTAATTCCTTCAACTATGCTGTAGCCTTCTAAGAATACATATTAGAGACTGGAGAATAAAATATTTACATGTAATTTTCAATTATTAACTTATTTTTATTTTTGAAAATCATTCAGCCATTGGATTCTCTATTTTGTTCTGGATTCCTGGATGTATATGATAGGAACTTCATGATTAATTGCATAAAAGTTAACAAATTTATTTCCATACGTCATGCTTGCAGTTTGGAGGGAATTTTTGTTTTGTTTTGTTTTGTTTTCTCCCTCTTGTTTTATTTCTATTTATAAAAGTGCAAAGCTTTGATGTTCAAGCAGAAAATAGACCTATCACTGCAACACTGATGGATAAGAATCTCAAATTTTACCAAGAGTGCTCTGTGCATTTCTATCTGTAGCTGAATCTCAAAATGTCTTCTATTTATTGTTTATTTGGAATGCTCAGTGCTTCTGCTTTATTTCTTGGGTCTTATAATTAACAAACAGCTCTTCAAAGAGCTCTCCCCCATCTCCAGTTTTGTTCTTTTGTATTGTGCTGTAACTTACTCTCTAGTGGTTTTATTTGGGAGTAGACTACAAATTTTTATACATTCCCCTCAAAGATGAGAAAATCTCCAACAGGAGATACATAAACGAAATCACTAGAAGAGTTAGGCCACTAAAATAGCACTTAGTCCAACAACTTTCAGACACCACCAGGAGCCTCAGCTTCTGTTCTGCTGCCAGCACCTAATGCTACGCTAAGGATTTTCAGGTTTTAGACTATTTGCACTTACAAACTGTTAGGTCTGCGTGAATTCTCAGAGTATGTCTCCTAGAGTGGATCCTAAAAAAAGCAACTCAAGGATGAGATGCATTGGATTTTCATCTGTCCCACCCTGGACTGCCATCATAAGGTAAACTCGTCATATATTCCTGTCTGCTGCTGCTGGATCAAGGCCTTCAACCCTTGACAGGTTCCCCTAGTTCAAAAGAGCGTGGGGTCTGTTGTACGTTTGAGCATCCCAGCAGTGCTTCCTCCTTTCAGTATTGTTCCACGTGGCATGAATATTGATGGAGTTGGACAAGGTAAGACTGTATAGTGCAGCACTTGTGCCGCTCAGCTAGAATATGGGACAGTTTCAAGTCACTCTCCTAATGAATATTGAATTATTTATACGTTGTGGAACAGTTTCAACAAGAAAAGTTAAGAGCTCTTTCCAGAATATCCTGGTGCTTCGGTCACTTACTGAAGATGTTGAAATGTTATTTAACGCTGCTGTCAAATTTCAATTTGAAGTTCCTCAAATGTCAATTCTTGCATTTGGTATTTGTAGTTTTTCAGTCTTCACACATGGTTCAAATAATATGCTCAGATTTAAGCACTTTCAGCTGAGCTTTTGATTCTGTTACTTTGGTTTAGTTGGACCACTGGGAATGGTCCCAATATTTCTTAGGGTCCCTGAATATTTCTTATGTTGGTTGAGTCAAAGCTGTAAAATCAAGTGGAACTGGGAAAAAAGGGAGGGGAGAAAGGACACTTTCTTTGACCTGTTTTTTTAATATATATTTTTAAAATTAACTGGAAAAAAAAAGGATAAGATATATAAATTATACGGATTTGAAGGTCACAATAGAAATACTTTGGCCTCTTAATGATGAAGACCTGGGCCTAAAGCAATTATTAGAATGGACCCGAGCAATCTAGGCATACAATTCCCTTTGGTTACAACCTAATTCTGACCTAACCTATTTTGGAGTCCAGTGGGATTTTCAAAAGCTTATTTCTGCATATAAACAGAGCTCAAGATCCTTTGAGTGCTTGAAATGCAGAAATAATCACTTTGTTACCTGCAGTTAGCATTTATTTAGCTTAAATTGGTTTGGTTTAAATAATGAGCTTGTTCTGCATGCAGGATCCAGTGTATTTGAGGTTGGATTCTTACATTCATAATTTCAACTTCCAGCCAAATACAAACTAGTTTCTAGAAGAAGAAGAAAAATCTAGCAGACTGTTTACATCTTTCTGCATTTTTAACGTAATAAAATGTTTTAAAAAGCTAAGACTCTACATAAATACATATGAAAATACATCGTTTCCATCTTTCCTTCCAAAAGCATGTTGGTGAACTGTTTATTACTTGTCAACAATAATAAAGGTTTTACTGAATTTCACACAAAAGCGTTATTTGGAGCAGCCAAACTCATGATCATTACACCAATCATAAAATGCACCCTATCTTTTGGAAAGAAATTAAAGCTTTCATATTTAAAGTGTTTTAAATTATACGGAAAAATCAAGTTCTATCTTCAGTTGTTAAAATCTGCTTGTCTTAAGTATCCATGGTTGAAGCATTAGCTGCTGACACTTCAAATTACCACTCTGCTTATTCGCTTTGCTGTACGTTATTTTTATTTAATA